ACCACGCAATATTACCTGGTCCGCACACAGTGGAAACATGCGAAGCACGTAATATTACGTCGACCGCACAGAGTGCAAACATGCGTAGAAATAAGCAATCACAACCACGCAATATTACCTGGTCCGCACACAGTGGAAACATGCGAAGCACGTAATATTACGTGCTACGCAGCCAAGTGCAGCCAAAAAACAAACATGTGCAACAACTAAACTCTCCATATAACAACACCTTACACATAACACTACTGCACTGGTAACACAGGCATCACAGTCACTAAGCCCGCGCGTAGCGCGGGTTTCAGCTAGTGATGTTAATAATGATAATTTGTCATTATTAACCACTGATAGCATGTATGCCGGGTGGTTTTACCAAACACATCAAACAGTAATCAGTCACGAAATTAAATGGTCTGTATTCAGTTGGAGAAAATCTGTAACGTGTGTTGCGGTCTCTACTAACTGTGCTACAAAATGTGCAGCTGCATTTCAGTCTTACTTGATGAGAGTGAGTCTGTCTTTATCGTGTGGATGCTTGTCCAACCACCTGGAGTAATCTGTGATCGACCAGCCTGCCCTCTAGTGAGAAAAAAACAACGTTTTGAACAAGTGGTTATATACGAGTAATTATGCATATATGTTGATAGAGATAACACAGATACACAAACATACGTGTATATATATATAAATCTTAGATGAAATTTCTATCCACCCAGGATATTTCTGGGTTATACATACCACATGTGGAGCTTTCAACTCCTTTGGAGCTCTGGCGAAGAGAAAGTTGAGAGCAAGACTGTAACTCACAGCCTCCCCCAGTGATGAACTAGCAGCTATATGCTCGGGAGTTTGAAACAGAAATGGCCTGAAAATTATAACAAAAAATAGACTAGTTAATCATACATTCTCCAAGCATTAACCATTTTCTAATATGAACATATCTCTTCTAGATATCAGTGCAGGTTGCATGAACTAACACTACCTCATCACACACAACCTAGCCCTACTTTTGTGGCCCTTCTCACCTACGATAGGGCTACATACAACCAATAGTAAGGGCGAAATGGCAGTGAACCCTTGCAGTAATGCAAGCTAAGCTGCCTACTCACTAGCACCACCGCTATTTATATCAGACATGGCTGCGTCTTAGTAATTTTGATTATTGTTTGCATTCAATCTTGCCAAACTACATTGAGTTAAGTTTGATTTGAAAGTGGTGTGCTATTGTCAGGAAGTTTATCTTAAAAGCTAACATATTTCCCATTGTATTGTGGACTAGTCTGCAATGCTGCAAAGATTCATTGGTGTTCCTACCAACGTTGTTTGTATAGTCCTGTAGCGGGAGCGAAGGGCTACAATACTGAAGCTAAGACAAACAAGGCCTCTAGTACGTACCTGAACGATCTGAGTAGCCTGTAAGACTTTCCAAGATCACTGATCCTGTAGCAGAGAGGTGATATGGCTGCCTCCATCTGCGCAAAGTCAGCCGCCAGCCTCATTTTACCTCCCTCCCCTAGAGGGCGCACCAGGCTGGCCTGCTTGACAAACTGCTCGATGCACTGGCAAGCGATGGGCTGTACTCTACAACAATGTTAACACCAGGTTACCACCATGCCAAGCATGATTGCAACATGATTCAAACACCTATATAAGGATTTTCCAGGATGCTGCATAGTGCACAATATATACGTTAATATAACACGTGCTCACTGCTCCATGTAATGTAATGTCCATGTTAATTTAATGTAATATAATGTCCATGTTATATAATAATGTAGTGTAATGTAATGTAATGTAATGTAATGTAATGTAATGTAATGTAATGTAATGTAATGTAATGCCCAAGTTATATAATGTAATGTAATGTAATGTAATGTAGTGTAGTGTAGTGTAATGTAATGTAGTGTAGTGTAATGTAATATAATGTAATGTAATGTAATGTAATGTAATGTAATGTAATGTAATGTAATGTAATGTAATGTAGTGTAGTGTAATGTAGTGTAATGTAATGTATAATGTAGTGTAATGTAATATAATGTAATGTAATGTAACGTAGTGTAGTGTAGATAATAAATAGATGTAGTGTAATGTAATGTATATAATGTAGTGTAATGTAATATAATGTAATGTAATGTAGTGTAATGTAGTGTAGTGCAGTGTCCAGTAATGTAGTGCACTGTAGTGTAATATAATGTAGTGCAGTGTCCAGTAATGTAGTGCACTGTAGTGTAATATAATGTAGTGCAGTGTACTGTAATGTAATGTAATGTAATGTAATGTATTATAATGTAATATAATGTAATGTAATGTAATGTAATGTAGTGTAGTGTAGTGTAGTGTAGTGTAGTGTAGTGTAGTGTAGTGTAATATAATGTAATGTAATGTAGTGTAATGTATTATAATGTAATGTAATGTAATGCCCATGTTATATAATATAATGTAATGTAATGTAATGTAATGTAATGTAATGTAATGTAATGTAATGTA